CCGGTTGTGGATTACTCAAGAAAATTCATGTCTCGGCCTGGACAACCTGAAAGTGTCTAGCCCACATGCAGATCATGGAACGTTTTTCTTTTTTATAAAGAAAAATTGTACCATGATTTGTTTGACACGGTCTGGCCTCAGACATGTGTAATATATATATATATATATATATATATATATACATATATATAATTTGTAGGGACGGGGACAGAAAGAGAACCTCTGATCAACACAGGATCTGCAATCCAACTGAGCATACACACTACTTCAAGCATCCTGGTCTCACAAGAAGGTAGGGTGGGATCGCTACTGCTGTCGATTTGCTGCTATGACCTACAGTGTCTCCAACCATTTAGTTGTCGAGTCTGTTGGACCTACTCTACCTAATCGCGCTGTGCATTTCTGCATGCTCCGTCTCCATGTGATCTTCTGGTCCCACACGTGGCCTTCTCCGGTCTGGAGCGGCTATCGCAAATAAAGCGCGGTGAGGTAGGCGACCGTAAGCTTACTGAGCTGAATTTGATGCGATAGTCAGTTTGTGTACGATGCGGTCCGGAACACCCGCCTGGAACCTATTCAGCATGACGTACACCCATACGCTATCAGAAGTATGCGAGAAGAATAACCTCAAAATGTTTCTATGTGTCTATCGTTTGCGAAAAGAACCCATAAGGGATTTGCGATATTTGGGTCGAAGGCTCCTTTTAGGTCAAGGAAAACAACAACCGTTAGTGAGCGGTGTATGGTGTGGTTTGAGGACTTTTTATGACATTTTCCTTTTTAGTTTTGAAGAGCAGGAGGGGTAAACCCCAAACTCATGAAGACCTGCTATACGATGATGGAAACTGGTAGACTAATCCCCGGGACTTGGAGTGGCGAACCACATAAGGCTCCTCCTCTAGGTTAGGCGTGGTATTGAGCCAGGCGACAGCAAAGTTGCCTACCACCAAAACGCAACCTGAAGATTTTGTTGATATCACCGCGACCTGGTCGGGTCATACTTGTTATTTGCGGATATTCAACTCCCTGAAGAAGGTCAGGCATCAAAGTCGACGTTTGACTGAGGCTAAAACTTTGATGACAATTGGGATCGAACTTATTCCACGGTGGTTTGCGCAGTCTGCGATATTCCTCTCATCTGCGTGTCAATTACGCACAATGGGGAGCGCCCACAGTAAGCCAACTACATGTTGGTCCATAAAATCGTACTTTGGTGTAATTGTTTGATTGCTGAGCGGAATTACAATCATTCGATAAATTGTGCTAGATTTCCGCGACTCCGCACGGGAGCTGTAAAACTACGAAACAGAGCAAAACTTGGGGATTTGCAAATAATTTGCGACAAATATAACCGTGCCAGGAGATGCATATTTGAAAGTTGATTATGGTCAAGCGACGATCAGCAGAGATAAAGACAGATAAGTGATAGATTAGAATATAAAGTATACAAAGTAGTCAAACCTTTTCACCAGAAAACCGTCAAACACGAAATCAGTCATATCTGGGTAACATTGACGTTACTGACTCATCTATCACGTAGGATCAACGACCAAACCGAAGAAGAACCGCTTTGATAAAATCGTCATTATATGAGATATGCTATATACTTCGGGGAACGCTAGGCGGAGTATAACAAAGGTAGGACAGACAGCGTCAAGTAATTATTGTCCAAAGTGCTGAGCGTCACAATCACTCAGTGTCACTACAACGAACTGTAATAAAAATTTTCAGCATTTTTGTTGCTTCCTACCGTACTGGGAATTTTACTTGACATCTCTACATTCTAATGGTGTAACACATTTGGAGAGCATGAGTTAGCCTATAAAAGCAAGCTTTGAAATGTGATAATAATAATAATAATAACTAGATAGGATCCATAAAACAGATAGAAATTTAATCCATTCAGAGTGCTCCATGGTGACTCACCATCAGTGTGCCATACACGCGCATACCCGTCGTAGGAACCAGTTGCTAGAAAACTTCCATCAGACTGAAACAGAAAAACAAGTGGATAATCAATGAGACTGGATGACTCATCTGCTGACAAAGGAAAACCTGAATCGCTCACTGAGGATTACGATGAAAAAGTTTGAAGAAGTCTGTTAGTGTGCTATAGTGCAATGGTTCTGGTGAACGTTTTATCGCCTTTGAATCGTATCTGCTGATTAGATGACTACCATTGATTGGTTCCAATTTCAAGACGTTCTAATTCCACAGCCATCTGAACAGGGTCGGTGATTTTTCCATCGTTTGGTTAAATTTGTCTCGATGTTTGTCCCTAGATGTTCTGCATTGCTCAAGGCCCCGACCATTTGTCAAATAAACTAGGTTACAAGTGGTAACATGCCTTCCATTTGACGGGACTCTGAATTCAAATACCGGAACATGTAGACAGTCAGTTGCGATCAGCTTTGCTTAGAACAAAACTCGAACCTAATGCTTCCCGATTGAATCAACTGAGAATTGTGGAGAAAGGTGGAAGTTGGTCATTCAAAATAAACAGCACAAAAGTATACCATCGCATTCATCTATCGAGCTTAGAATAGCACGTGTAAATAGAAAGCTCAAACAGTGGCAAGTCGGAACGAATAATACACTGAATAGCGTGAATGAGAAATAAAGTATTGGGTATGAATAAACCACCAGTCAAGATTTCAACATGAAATGATCGTAATCAGGGTGAACTTGATAGTTCTGCAGATTGCTAATTTCGAGGTAAGCTCCAGAGTAACGAAGACCTACTGTTTACTCATGGAAAAAGAGGTGACCTTTGAGGCCTGGAATGGCGAACCATTTAATCCGCCGCCAAATCAGGTGTAGTATGGAGGTGGACGATAGCGAAGCTATCGAAAATCGAGGCTGGCTACCGGTAACGGGGTTCGAATCTTGATTCCTGCGACCACCACACTTGGAAAATTAAACAAGTCACCATCACCGTACAGTGAAATCTAGTGAAGCGAACCTCTGCGACTGCTATCGAGTAAATACAAGTGATTAAACCGGAACGAGTTTGTAGTTTCAACTAGCAGATTGAAACTGCTAAGCAAAATTACATCTCAAAAGAATCTCAGTTCAGGGCTGCATGTTAGGCTGAATTTGTCACAATATAGAGAAGTTTTAAGGCGTCCGTTTGGCCAAACAGACATTTCATAGCAGTATTTTTCTCATTTTGCCAGAAACGTGTATTCAATTTATTCGCGCTTAACCACCCCCTGCTGATGCGTGTATCTGAAGCTTTGCGCCTCATAAACAATGATTGGAGAATGTTAAAATAAAAAGCAGCAAGGACACACCCGCTCACACAGAAAATCGATTTACGTGAATCAATAAGTTTGGTCGATAGAGGACTCCCCAAAACATAGCTAGGAGGGCTTTTTGACAGTGATATGGAGAATTATTGTGGGAATACAGTGAACAAATTTGTTTGACGTGCACAAGTATAACTATTGAAATCAGACCCACTATGCTTTTTTCTGTTCTCCATTGGAAACCAATGCTATTACGTGTGCTAACAGCTCCGTGCACATACCCATGTACATACGATGTGGCTCACTAAGGGCAGCAGCAATAGGGGGAACAGACACACAAGAATCGATGAGGAAAAAAGTGGTTTGCGCACGAATGGCCCTAGAGCTAAAATTAGACTGACTTGTGCGCGGCACACGCAGAGTTAAGCCGTCATGCACAGCCTCGGAAACACTCATGAACGCACATAGACAAAGGCACGTTCGAACGTGGACAAACGCGTACATGCGTGAGAAAGCCAGACAACCCACAGATTCAGACATCCTGGGGAGACGGACATACCTACGCGATAGGTAGTGTGCGTTGACACGGTTGTGGGGACAGAACGTAATAGAAAGCGCGGTCTGCCAATGAGGTGGTTGGTAATGTAAGCCGACCAATCATAAAATTTAACTACGCGTACCGTGCCACCGTTGACAGCGGCTATCGGCATTGGTTCAGCCTTGACTGGTCATGTATGACCGCACGTGGATTGCCTCGGAACCCAGGCCATATAACAATTGTACTTCCGTCTTTCTTCAGCCAGGAGTAGACGTTCAGAATGTCGCACGCTATTAGGGTTGTGATTCAAACATGACCGCGGAAGGATGTGCGTGGGTGGATTTACTCGAACAACCGAACTCGCTGCTCGGAACAATCAACCAACATTGGGAAAAATGGAGAGCAGAAAAAGAAGCCCAGACCTCATTTTGATCGACAGCTAAGGCTTAATATTTTTTAAATCGGATCATTCACTGGGGTAACTTATGGCAATCATTTGCTTACTAAATATGCACGAAACGACAATTTATCCACTGCTCATATAACGTTAATTTGACAAAATTTACAGTCGGTAAACGTGATCAGACCGAAAAGAAGCAAAACACAAACAGAACTCGAAACTGTAGACAATTGAACACAGTTGCATGCAGAACCGCAATGATACACGAAAAAGTACAATCAACGAAAACCGTTTCCTATCTCGGGTATATTATCGATCATTCATTTGACTTTACAGTATCATTACCAATCCCTCACATGAGTATCGAGTATACTACCTAGAAACAACGCCTTAAGAAAGTGCATGTGCAATCCAAGCTCCATTAAGGATTTGTGCTTCGAATAGCAACACGTTGCTGGACTGTTGAGTATCTTGGTTAGTCACAATCAGGTGTACATAGTGGCATTTGTTCAGGTAAAATCCCAAATTCACTATTTTGTATATTTTACAATGTATTTGAGTTCATGAACATTGCCTATCTATCGCATGAGCGTGTTGAGGACGATGAAAACATTGACCATCCTATCCGGAGAATACACCATTTGGATGAACAATAATCAAGCGTGATGACTAATTGAGTCGTCCGCCGCTGATCAAGCTGATTGGTGATGACTGCGGTTACTATACGGTGGTGCTTGGGTGTTCTGAACCACCAATTAGTTCAGTTCAGATAAGGTTACTGGGCATCACTGTCAGATTTTTCTAACCTGTAGTGGAGGGAGACGGATCGATTCACTTATTCCTATTTTAGCAGGCTAACAAGATAATGCACTTATAAATTGCATTGAGTCTCATAGACCAAAAAATCAGTGACGAATTACGGATAGCAAGGGGAATTAAAAGAAGGACAACATCTAAACTCACATTCCAATCCAAAGATGTTACGTCCTTATTACTCAGAACGGTTTGACCATCACGGTTGACGTAATGAGTGAGAACCAAATGCGGAACTTGAGGAGGATTAGTCAACGGCTCTTCTAGATTCCAGATCCGTGCAGTCGAATCACCAGAACTGTAAAAGGAAAATATATATATATATAAATGGGGGGAAGTGGAAGCTTGAAATTTCGATTGTACATTACAGTGGTATAAAAACTAATGATAAGGAAACGAAGTATTGCCAGTTCGTGGTACATATATAGTAGTATAACGAATGCAGCAGTATACTGAATGACTCGATTAGTTTTGTGAGGTCATTCAGATACCACTTATTGTGAAATTGGGTTGAACCTGTTGCGGCAAGTAGCACTGAGCACACCGCATCACAGTATTGTTCCTGAAATGGGCCAGTTAAGAAGAGTAGTATTCGAACAAAAACGCTTAAGATTACAATTAAGATTTATCAAAAATGCATGTATATTTATAGGCATTATTTTATCAGACACTTTCAGCTCTTCATCTCAACATTGCGTTATCGGTTATCGTCACTATATGTATTTTAGAAATTGATTCTTCGGGTAGTTGCAATTCTCTGGATCTCCTTATTGACGATAATGAGGACGGAAATATTCGGCTCCTCTTCCCATGATATATCGAAGTTCTAGTATTTTGCTCAACAACCAGTTCAGCCAAAATCAGGCTTCAAATTATCAGAATTTTGCTAGACCATGAGTGACGACAGGTTATAGCAGTTCCCTGTTCAATCTGTTTATCTTAAATTAACTATCAAAATGAATGTAGGAGTCGTAGGTCAGTTAAAATATCCACAGGCTGCTGACAGGTTTAGTCGTGCCTGGTACCAAGAGAGAAAAGGATCAGTGAAGACCAACAAAGATGAGGAGTGCAAGCTAAATTGTTGCGGAAAAAGCAGTGAATATGCGTAACTTTTATTTGAATAGAGGACAGCGCCCCACCGCTAGATTTTTCATTGACTTTCGCGCCTCATTCGATTCAGTGGACTGCGAGTCATCGTGGAAGATAATGCTTGCAGACGGCGTCCCTGCAAAAGTTGGTCAATATGGTGAGGTCGTATTACACCCAAACCAAAGCCCGTATCCATGCCTACGGCGAAGTCTCATCCCTTGGATCTGAGGTCAGGAGTAAGACAAGGATGCCCGCCATCTCCAGTGTTGTTCAACTCCGCTGTTGATTAGATTCTGCTTCAGGCAATGGAAAGTTACCAAGGAGTCCAAGTTTCCGCAGATTGCTGGATTACTGACCTCGAATTCACCGATGACGTGATAGTGCTTGTAGAGGACCTGACCGCCTTGCAAACAGCTCTCATCCGTATCAAAAGATTTGCCACTGAGATCGGCCTTGAGATTAATCCTAACAAAACCAAGATGTTCGCTACTCCACTTGATCAAGCGGAACATCCTCTGCAACTGGATGATCGGACAATAGAAATAGTATCGGACTTCAAGTACCTTGGGTCCACCATCCTGCCCAATGGACAAGCCAAAGCGGCGTATCGACACGGTCCGAACGGCGTTGCTGCAGCTCCGAACCACCCTATGGCGCTGGAACGAGATCAGCCTCAAAACCAAGCTCAGGCTGTTTGCCACAGCAGTTCGACCAGACCATGCGGCTGCGAAACCTGGTCGCTGAGGACAACCGACGATTAGGTCTTCGATTACTGGTGTTTTTCATTCATCCTGAAAGTGAACTGGCGGGACAGGGTCTCAAACTCGGACCTCAGGAATCGATGCCACGTTGCCCGTCTCTCAACGCAAATACAACGCCACCGACTGCAATGGCTGGGTCATGTTCTCCGCAGACCCGACGACACTTTTACGAGTATTGCCTTGGCTCCGACACCATGTCCTGACTGGCGCCGCCGACAAGGGGGCAAGTAAAAACCTGGCTGGACACTGCATTCGAAGACGTCGACCAACTTGGCCTTCGGATGATGTACGGCATTCGCCGATGGAAAACAAACTGGATTAAAATTTGCAAGGATCTTGCAGCCAACCACCAAGCATGGATAGCGGCCAGAGACATTCATGGAGCCCGCTCATCTTTTCCAAAGAGCCAGCCGTAAAGTAAAGTAAGTAAGAATGGAGGACAAGGTGTTTGGCGTAGGAACTCACCCTGAGGCTAGCATGTCGCTGCGAGGATTCCATGCGCAAATAAAAACTTCCGAATCATGGCCCCGCAAAACAGTAATTCGTTCCGGAGGGATCTGCCGACCGGGGACGGGAGATGTTCGATTGACTTCGGGGAGATGTACCCGATCGACATCCATAGCATCGCTTCCTGTTCGATAGTGATTCACTGTAGAGAATGGTTTTTAAAAATGAACATTGTAACAGGTTATTCCTATAATTCCTATTATAATGAAGCAACGAAACATCATCTACAGGTTTGCTATGACTAACTCCTACGCATTGAAAAGCAACAAGCGTACAGTAGTGTCAACACGTCAAGGTGAAATCAGAACCGGACGCTATATCTACAGGGATCACGCTAGTTTTGGTAAACAAAACTCTCCGTGAGTGATGATCGCATTCTGGAAGGCATAGTGGTGTCCACGGCTCGATAGAGCACTCTTAGAACAACTAACTAGCGTGAACCCTGTATATGTTTGGCGTCCGGTTCTGGTTTAACCTCCATTTCAAAATTCCATCGGCTTCCGAGGATTTGAAATCCCTACTGGTGTTGATTTAGTATCAGAGCTACTGACTTGAGTCTGAAAAAACTGGTCGAACTGGTGTGTCACTGGTCTTAACAGCGCTGCCGCTGATTGTTTATGATTACTCGTCTGGAACAACAAATGTAACTGGTTATTGATGTCACTAAAGCGTTTTAATTTCTGTAACTTAGAGATACGACTGGCGGTGCATGACTAGATCGCCTGATATTCTAAGAAAGCCTGTCGTTTGCGTGCATCAATTTCCATCTAGCGTCGTAGGACTCGGGCAGAATTCGGTTAACTCTGAAGTGCAAGACAGCCGGGAGGTGATTTGTACTAAATAGTCTGGAAATGCGTTTAGCATCTTTTTAGAGTCGAACAGGGGTGTTGATTACTTAAATAGAGGGAGACTGGCATTGTTTTAATTGTCATGATCCACTGAGATTTCACCCGTTGGCAACTTTTGAAGGTGATAATCTAAAAGTTTTCATTACCGATTAGTGACAGTAAAAAGTCTGGAACCTCGCGTAACGGGGACCTACTGTTTGATTATGAGAGACCACAACCCGAGCCCTAGGAAACCAGGTAGTGAGCACGTGACCCCAGTAAAAAAGCAAGGTATTGAGGGGACAACGTACCGAAGACTTGACAGCGGTTCCAGGGTTTGAAACTCGGATTACCAAGACCAGGTAGATATTCGGGTGACCAAGAATATAGCTAACTTTTATTTTTAACTATTCACTTGGATCCAATGAGTAAACCATTTTACATTCGATTTTTTTGAGAGCGATGAAGCCAAGCTTGAGAAACGGTGTCAAGGCTCGAATATTGTACCTTAAAGCCTTAAGCACGTCAGTGACAGCAATTCAAACCATTTGATAAATACCTCGATCAGTCTTGGGGATCTTTTCGGTTTCAAGATCCCTATGTAGGCCGATTCGCAAGCCATCGTGAAGTGCGAAATCGGGGATGAACTATTTCAACCAAAATCGCACGAGTAAAAGCCCTGTTGTTTGATAGGAGATACAAAGAACGTTGCGAAGGACGACGCACGTTTGAAGCCGGGTACAATTATTCCTCATTGCACAGAACTTGGAAAAAAATCGGACAAAGGAAATGCTGTTACAGAAAGTGAACTAACTGGTCAGCAGTCGTGCGATGAAATGGTAGTTCGGTACCTGCTTTCAAGGCATAAACTGAGTACGATTGCACTCAATGGGGTGTATTATATCATTCGTTTCTATTGCTTTCCGGATTGGCTACCAAAGAATAGCGAATTGCAAAGGTAGTAGTCGTCCGGACTAGAAAAAACAAATTAGCAGCCATCAACCTTTCCTCATTGGGAATGTAGATTACCTAGAGATCGAGATCGCGCTTTGGGTGGAGGAACTTGCCTACACAACTCAACGGTTAAGGCAATGACTCCGTGTACTCACCATTGATACATGGATCCTGTTCAGCTACAAACCGTTCAATGGTGTATGAGCCCAGAAGGCAACCAACAAACATGCGAGACCTCCCTGCAGCTTTGCAGTTAGCCTTGGATGTGCAAAGCCTAGAGATGCCACCTCAAACTAAAACCGTGTGACGCTGGGGACGTTTTCTGTACCTAACTTCAAAGAAATTTCATGGATATTTACTCCACTTGTCTCGTTCGTTAATTATGGAACGGCGTTCTTGGGAAGCGATGCACCATGTGCCTCCAGTGGTTCAGGTGATAAGTATGCGCACTGGACTCCTTGAACTACCCCAAACTTCTTACATTGGATGCTGGAAACTAAGAACACCCTTAGGAATCAGGCGCTAACGAGAAGTGCGTTGCATGACCACCAGCTGTATATTAATTTGAAGTCAGATTAGCTGGCTCAAGCTCCAAAAGTATCAAAATCCTGGTATTGATAGTCACAGCAATCAAAACCGGCGCGTGAAAATACACGGTGAACGGTTGTGAAAACTGAAATTGTGTCGATAGCCAACACTAGCTGTATCACAGCGGCAATGAAACATCGGGTCAACACGGAGTTGCATTCGCTTTAAGCCATCCAGCTAATGATAGAAACGATAGAGACCGGTATCCTTTATGACTGCAGTAGAACGATTCAAGAGCCATCCAGTAAATATAACATTAATCCCCGTCCACGCCCCGACTCTCTCGTCGGGCAACAACGTCAAGGATGAGCCCTATTGCAGCCTTCAACCGCTCGGTAATGAAGTACTCAAACGGGATATGCTTGCGATAACAGGGGACTGGAACGCTCGAACTGGCCCATGAGACGAAGCACATCGTAGGGGGGGGGGCGGGGTGGCCTGTATCAGCGCTGTGAGAATGGTGACAGACTACTCAGCTTTGCCGATTATGATCGACTGTTTATCACCGACGCGCGGTTTTAATGTCCAAAAAGCATTTTCTGACGTGGTACTCCACGGACGAACAGCATACCAATTAGATTACTTTCTCAACGGTTCACGAAAGGTTCCTTCGGTTGAAGACTGTTGAAAGGCTGGCTGAATGCGGAAACAGAAGCGGATCTAATCACGTGTTAGTTCGCGCGAATGTTAGACTTCATCGAACAACTTGCAGGAAGACCGTCCCCTCAAAACACCTAAATGTGCTCCCATTGGAGAACGAGAAATGCCGGGCACTGATGGGCATGACAGCTTCACAACTGTCGAACGATCCCCTTGGTACCCAAGGAAGCAGAGAGTTTGGTCGAAACGTAGTGGATTAGGCTGAATTCGTCGTTACAAGTTGCCCTATATGAACAAGTCACAGCTTGAAGGACTGGCGCATCTGACCACACCACAAGGTTAGCTAATGAGGACAGAGGCACACCTAGCCCCATCTTTCAATTCTCGTGATATCAGACGAAAAGCAACACGGTTGGCAGAAACAATAGAAGCAACTACTGGAATGGTGACAAAAAATAAGATATCAACCAACCTGGGCAACACGGCGACTCTCTTCCGATCAGCATCGAGCAAGGAATAAGTCACCCGGTTCGTGTTGCGCAGCGCCTCCGGTAAGCTCATTATTGATGAGGAAAAAATAAATGGGTGGATGAGTGGAACACTTCAGTCTGCTTCTCATTTTTCCTCTAATCCAACATTCGTATGCGTCCCCCACGTAATCGCCATACGAAGCTACATGCACTCCGTTATCAGCAAAGGTTTCAGATATCATCAACCATCTTGAGCAGCGGAAATCTCCCGGCGATGACAGGATACCCGTTGAAATCTATACAAAGTGCTCTCCAGCCATTTAAAACCTTTTCTTCCTACCGTATACAATCTGGGAAACTTAAACTTGCCCAACTGGCGGTACCACGTCGATTTTACCATCTTTCCATATAAAGGGGGACAAGTCAGTGTGCGACAACTACCGAGGCATCAATTCACTTGATGTGGCAGCCAAGGATTTGCTGAAACAAGACGAGCGCAGCCGCCCTAACCAGAAGGGATTCCACCCCGATGTGGGCTGTGTTGACCAAATATTCACTCTAATTCGATTTTTGGAACATCGCCACAAGTTCCAACAACCCACAGCAGTCTGTCTCTTCGATTATCGAGCGGTATTCCATTCCGTAGATCGTGAATCTCTTGGGATCAGCTCTAACCGATGGTGCTCCAGTTAAACTTGCTCACCTCACGAGATCGCACTACCACATCTACCGCGAGGAATTATGCTTGTTCGAGTTGGGATCTGTGATGCGACAGGGGTGTCCATTGTCCCCGATGCTGTTCAGCTTTGTCGTTGACTGGATGATGGATCGTTCAATGGAAGGATATCAGGGGGTTCAAATTTCTCGGAATTTCTGGCCCACCGACTTAGAAACTGATAATGACACTGTCGCCTTTGGTAAGGACATATCCGATGTCCAAGTAATTGTTCACCGCATGAGCCAACAGGCCTCCGAAATCGGCCTAGAGGTGAACACATCAAAAACAAAACGTTTTAGACAGTCCTAATTCATTTCGAAGATTTATGACCACTGAACAGCGAGCCGCCCGAATCCGTCAAAAGCTTTACAAGCCTGGGCTCAACAGCCTAACGGCTAAGCTTAAGACGATGTACAGGTGAAGTGTGGTAGTGGCGCGTTGGTTTAGTCGCGGTCACCGGCGTAATTTGGACCCTACGGTTTCAGGTTCGAGCCCCACCACCTTCACCCGACTTCGGTGGTAGGGGGCTGAGGTCGCCGGCTCCCACCACTGCACAGCGGGTCCTCGTGACTATGGGGTTTACCCCGCCTAATGCTCATCACACGAAAGTGTAAGTGAAAAAAAATATAAAAAAGTGCGCGTCAATGCTGCAAAAGAGGAGTTTCTACAGCTAAAGAATTCCTTCCGGCACAGAAGTGAAAGCTGCGAAACCTGGCCACTTAGAAGTCGTCGATCACTGGTGCCTAACAGTTACCCTAGGAGTACGATGGGGGATCAGCTCTCAAATGAAACGGTTAGAAACTGATTTTAATCTAATATGGCGGTAGCGACTACAATGGTTTGGTCACACTTCGTAAATCTGATAAAGACCTGA